ACTGCTATGAAATTCAAATAAAATGTAAATAAAGTGGTGATGGGTGTCTATAGAGCTTACTGAGCTAATCACACCAAGTTCTGTGTTGATTTCATAAATTTAATCAAACATTAAATTCTTTGATTGAGGTGTGCAGATTGTAACAGCATCTGGGACACCATGTTTGAATTACATCCAACTGTGTTACATGAGGCTAAAGTGAGTGGTGATAGCGGATTTCATCTCAATGAGTTGTATAGGATTTTTATTGTATTCTATGACAGAACATTTGTTCTGTTATAGAAACAGGGGGACATGAATGGAATTGATCTAATAAGCAAATTTTTAGTTTGGATCTCTCTTTACTTTTTGGAAAAAGAGGTTATTGAAGTTAAATCAAAATACATTAAATGTTTTACGGTGTATTAGCAGCATTAAATATGAGCTAACTATTTGGATATGAAATAAGTAAAATTTCTAAATTGAATATACTAAACTAAATATTACCTATCAAATAATTTACATAAAACAGTGTTTCTTAAACTAAGGAAGGTGATCGTTGGATTGTTGCATCTCTATTCATATGATTTAAAATAAGTTGTTTAACTAAGACATCCAGGAAGGTCTAAACTAAAGATTTACATCATGTAATAAATTTAGCTGTATCGAATCTCTCTCCAAAACTGAAAAGGCATTGATAATTGATAAACAATATAAAAAGGGTAATACATTATTCAATTAAATATTTTATAAATAGGTTTTCAAAAGAATAAATGGATCAAAGGTAAAAAAATGGTTGAAATTTTTGGGATTTAAAACTATGATTGGAATAAAGTAGGTCATTTTTGATATTTAGTGACAAGGTTAACTTTACTCGTGTAAAATAGGCTGATCATTCTTTAAGGTTTTAAAAAATAGAAAATATGATGATAGAAATTAAATTGGTCTAAATTGGAGATTTACAAATTAACAATTATGGAACTGCTTCTAAAATACAGTTAAGTTTTGGGTTCAACATGATAGGAAACATTTATTTCTCATGTAGGCCTTATATAAAAAGAGTGTCAAAGGATTGATAAAATACTCTAAATTTATAAAATAAATAATCTAAAGGAGCAGATTTATAATACAAAAGGAAGACAGCAAAGCTGTCATAAAGTGTTGAATCAATCATTAACCAATCAACAGGGTTCTCTCCATATGAGCTCCAGACAGGACAGATGTTTCCAGGACCTGCTACCCGCATTCCAGGATGGAAAGGGGAGCTTGCATATTTATCTCATAAAGATTTCTTCAATGAGTTACAGGTCCTGGCAGCGGAATTTACAAAATACCAGACGACACAGGAACGTCCAGGCTCGGGACCAGTTCCGGGAATCGACTGGGTGCGCCTGAAGGTCATCAAAAGAAAGTGGTCTGAACCTCGCTTCAACGGACCATACCGAGTCATGGAGAGGACGTCTCATGCTGTCCGTCTGCAAGGGAAAAGGAGACACCTGGTTCCATTGGAGTCAGTGCACAGTAGCTGAGGAGCCACAACGCACGCTACAAGGCATCTGATGGCGCCGCAGATGGCAGTCACGGTGTGTTGGAGAATCTACAGTCTCAACCTGCGGTCGAGGAGTGTCTGCAGGCACATCACAGCGAGGACGAGGATCTGCAGTTCCAGGCAGAAGTGTAGCAGGGATTCCTGCCAAGACCACTTCATTTTCCTGAATTACAAGGCTTAAAAGGCCCGGACAGGCACAATAATCCTGTTCCGGTGTCCTTTATTGAGAAAAGGAGATTGCACCCTCTCCTTAAACTCACTGTTATATTGGCACAATACTCCAATTTTCAGTGAGCAATGGACACTCAGGAGGAAACCTGAGGTTTACAACCCAGGAGGAACACGGGAAGGATCAGGCTGCAAGATCATCATTAACTTATCTTCTCTTAAAGAACATTCGTTTCTTTTTGCGCGTATTTTTGGATTGTTTCCTGACGAAGAATTCATATTCATTTTTGGAGGACTATCGAAGGAGCATAGAGATGAACTCTAAGTTCTTATTATTGAATCGTGTGGAAAAAAAGAAAAAAAAAAGTGTATTTTGTAATTTTTATGTGTTTATGATTCATTTTCTTTTTGATGTTGTTATTGTTTTGTATTGACAAATTGTAATTTTTGTGGCGAGTAATGTCTTTTAAGTTTCCTGGGCATTTTTTAGTAATTTCGAGATATCTTACTCTGGTTTTCTAATTTTATACTTGAGCTGATATTTCTATTGTGTTTTTTCTTCTATTGAGATAACTGAGTTTTATGATTTTTCATGTTTGATAAGTGAAATGGATTTTTAGTTTTTACTGGTTAAAGTTTTGTGGTTCATCAGGTGAGTATTGAATTGTTGGATAGCGCAGGATACATTTGATAAGTTCAGATAATGGAGTTCAGCTTCAGACACATGACCTGGCAGTGTAGCTAGGAGGTGCTGTTTAAAAAGGGGACTGTTATATAATTAGGCTAATGTTTTAGTTTTTTAGTATACTAAATAGTTTTTTTGGTTCCTCTATTAAAGGCTTAATCAATTTATTTGTGAGGTCTGTGTGTCTCAGACCTCAAAAGAGGGACTGTTAAAGAAAAATGATTATTTTTAGTTTTTAATACAGTTAATCTTATGGCATGTGTAAAAGGTATGTTAAACACTCTCATTTTCAACATATTTCTTAATTTTGAACAAGTTTGTGAAGATAACCTTTCCTTGAACCAAATTACTGAATTTAAGTTTGTTCCTGAGAATTTATGGCAGGAAGAGGCCCCGCATTCCACAGCTATTTTGTGAAATCTTATCTTATGTTTTCCTTAGCCAGATGACCTTAGAATTCCTGGAGGCCAGGCCGTAAATTAGGGGAAGTTCTAAGTTTTTCTGAGTGTCCAAGATAGCTCCTGGTTGGAGGAGCAAAAGCCAGCCTTATTTGAATAAATTAAATACAAGAGGATAAAACTTTCTACACAGAAGTAACAAATCAGATTTGCTCTTGCAACTCTCCAAAGATGTCTTTGTACGTCTTTGCTTTCTTTCCTTCTCTCCATTTATGTCAGGTAAATGAATGTATGTCTCTGTTTCTGGTGTTAGTTTGTGCATTGTCTTACTTCTAAGTTTATGCATTGTCTTATATTGGATTAAACTCTGTAATTCTGTGACGTCCACACGCATTGCTGGTTTTCCTTGTGGCCACACGCAGCTCGCCAGGAGGGCCGGGGACCAGAGGAAGAGAGACAGCCAAACCTTTTCCAAGTTAACTATTTTAGAATAATTTCTTCCTTAACACCACCAAATCCCCTCTGGAGAAGAGTCTCTGTTTACAGGTTGACTCAGACTGCCTAGAGTTCAGAAAGATTTGAATTCTTGATTTTTCTGCCTTTCAAACCAAGTTGAACGCATAGTTTTATGAACCTGCCTGCTGAAGCAGGTGAGATAACTACCTAATTCTGGCTGGCCCACATTGCAGCCCAATTCCTGCTTTCAGGAGCGGCTAGAAGCCGCTGACCTTTTTCTATACTGGCTCTGCCACTGCCATGAACTGTGAAACTGCCGCACCATGACCCATTGGTTCAGCTGCTGATGGGAGCCTGTCAAAGCTGTCTGCTTTAAAGGTATCTGGGGACGCCCATACTAAGGCTCCTGTAAGTGATTGAATGAAGCCCTGCAGATCTGACTCTGTTGTTTACATCAGAATATTTCAGGTCTGTTGGATGAAAGGACTGAATTTCCGGAGTCAAATCCAGCAAGACTTCCTTCTTTTTGAAGTCGGACTGAACAGGACCAAGCGAACTGATGCTCCTCCCTGCTAAGAACAGATAAAGATCATCCAGCAGCTCCACTAAATGTCAACACAGTGTTATAGAGCACTAATCTATAAAAGCTTCAGCTAACTGCTTCATGGACAAATGTTAAATTAATTTTTTTCAGATGAACGACACAAATAAGAAAAACATTTATCTCCTCAGAAATTATTTATTTATTGCAGGATCCTCCATATATTTTCTGAGTAGCTTTGACCCATTTCTGACATTTTCATTCGACTATATTTCATGTCAGTGAACATAATGCCAATATTTCAAGCTGTATGCAAAATAGTCACATAGGAGTCCTTTGAATCTTTTTCAGTTCTTCTTGAAGAAAATCAACTTCACACTTTGACCAACCAGTGTGTTGATGACACAGGTTACATCTGCCTAAAATGACCCTTTATTGGCTGGTTAATAACAGCTGATTGGTATAAAAACACTCAACATGAATCTAGTTTAGAAAACATCCTATAATGTTTCAATAGAGGACGTCACTTTCTGAAATAATCTGAGCTCTTTGAATAAAAGTCTTTTTCCTGAAATCCTTTTATTTCTAAAACACCAACAGATTTTAGTGTTTTAGCAATAAAACCTTCTCTGTCTTTATCAAAATGTCTGTCAAACATAATGAAGTTCAGATAAAGTGATCAGAGGGGAAAATTGATCTAAATCTTATATTTTATCTTCTTCCCAACAGGAGCTCAGAAATCAAACAGTTCTTAAAGTTCTGGTTCCTGTCATCCATAAAAATAAAAAATAAAAGAACCAATTCGCCTTCATTTGATTTCTATCAATGATGATGTTATTTGTTGACGTTACTGTAAGTAATACTTTGTCCTTCTATGTCTTGATTCCCTAAAATAAAACAAACAAACAAAAAAGGCTTTAAGATCAGTGATATTAACCTTTGACACGTAACAGAGGATAGATGACCAAGGTTCCTCTAACCTTCAGATTTCCTCTGAAAGCATCGTCTCCTCAGCAGAACCAGCAGCAGAACCACAAGAACCATCTTTGAAAGTAACGGGAGAAGGTAGGAAGGAAAGTGGCAGAGAGATGGAGAAGATGTTGTAGATGGAGGAGAAGTTGGAGGATCAGGAGTTGATGGTTTCTCTGAAGTAAAGATATTTATCAAATAATTACTAATAATGTTTTTTAAACTAATATGAAACATTGTTTTCATGGATCTGACCTTCAACAGAGATCCAGCTGGATGGAGACTCTCCATGACCACTGATGTTACACCTGTAGAGGCCTTCATCAGAGCTGGTCACATGGTGGAGGGTCATGTGACCTTTGGGCTCAGTCCTGATGAGGGAGCCATCTTTATAGAAAGTAGCTGGGAGGTTGGAGGGAGTGGTCTTTGTTAGACAGCTCAGAGTGACGTCATCTCCCTCCATCACAGGAAGGACAGGACTCTGCAGGATCACTGATCCACCTCAACACAGAGACAAACTACAGCATTTCATCCATTTCCACACAGCTTCATCAACACTAACTCCACAGTCTGATCTTACCAGTGACAGTGAGCTGGATGCTGCTGCTGGCTGCTCCCTCTCTGGACGACCAACACCAGTAAACTCCACTGTCATCTGGGTACAGGTAGCTGATCTTACAGGTAGAACCAGCTGGTTCCCCCCATCCATCTCCACACTGAGTCCTGGTTTCTGTGGTTGTGTTCCTCCATACAGTCCATCCAGCAGAGCTGCTGTTCTCCTCACAGCTCAGAGACACAGATTCTCTGGAAAAGAACTGAGATCTGCTGGGACTCACAGTCAGAGCTGCTGCTGGAATGAAAAAGTTCTGCTTGTTTCTCTTCTTGTCAAAGATTCAAAGTTTCTAATAAAACCATCAACCTAAAACAGATCCTGTTTGTTTCTCATGGCTGCTTTAAACAGCAGCTTTAAATGATCATCAAACCATCTTCAGGAATTAGTTTTGTGTTAAAAATATATTTTTACCAAGTTGTTTTAGAACATTTTTAATCAAACTGTTTCTATGATTGAACTGAACTGATTCTTTGATAGTGTCATTCCTTTTAACACATAAGCACTAAATTAGACATATAACAATTAAGAACGACATTAATTCTAATATTTACACACTACATTCACATTTTTTATTTGTTTGTTTAAAATAGTGTAATTCATTAAAGTCCCACAAGGTGAGATTTATGGTGAAATTTGTGCTGCATAAATGAAATGAAATGATTTAAATTAGAAAGCAACATCAATATTTCAGCAGCACCTAGATCCTAACCTGGTATCTAGAAGCCACTTTTAAAATATTGTCATTTTCAACTCATGTATGAAACTTTTCAAATGTTAAATGCAACTTTTTAACTTTAACTGACACATGCCAGCTAAAAAGTGGCATTTACTGTTTTTCCAAAGCTGGTAAACCAGATATCACTCTTGTCTTTCACTGTCACTATTTTTAACAACATCCATAGTTTTCAGGGATTAAACCAACCTTTGTTTGTTGTGCAGCGAGTCACCAAAACCAGACCTGAAAAGGTAAAAAACATGACTGTGAATTATTAGATTATTTCCATCAATATGTAAATATTTCACTATGAAAAAATGTAAAGTAATCCCAAAAAATCTTAAATTCATCAGCAGATTTCAGATGGATCAACAAATAGTGTTCAGTGGGTTTTACCACCTTAAACAATCAGCCCATCTATAAATGTGTTGTTATTCATTAGACAGATAACCTTTTATACCATGCCAACTTTATTTATAAAGCACTCTGAAACATTCCCAGCTGATAGAAGATGCTGCACATGATTGATTAGCTAATCTACCTAATCTACCACTGCTTCTGATCATTTAAAGAAACCTAACTACAGTCTGAGCTTAAAGAATCACATCTATGTTTCCTATGGCATCATTTCTGTGTGTTTGACTTTGTCCTAAAATAAGAACGAAATGATCTCCTTAGTCCTCCCAGTTCAAGCATTCAGTCCTGTTCTGACATCTTAAACTCAGGCAAAGAGAGTTTAATTAAACACAGCTATTATTTTGGGTTCATCTGTTTTTCACTTCATTACTTCTCTAATCAAAGTGCTTTGAAATGCAGGAAGGAGGGGCTGAGTGCAGCCTGCAAACTGCTGCAGGAAAGAACTGAGACAGAGGAGAGAGAGAGCAGAGAGACAGCATGCAGAGAAAGAAAGAGCTAAATACAGAAAAACACTAAATGTGGAAACTGAATTCAACATTTGTTAACAACGGCTGCATTAGATTGGAAATGTACATATTCTGAGATACATGGCTCTAATTATTCTCTGACTGTTTTTTTCTTTCAAGTTATGAAGTTTAAATATTTATATTAGCCTGTTTTTAACATGATCTTTAAATAATAAATGTGAATTCCATTTCATCCAATTTTTTGAAGTTACATATTTTGTAACCCTGCCCCTCCAAATAAAAACTGAAAATAGGATTTAAACCTTCCTAAAAGTTTTTTTTTAATTATTGCCTTTTTATGTGATATTTGTGACAGTAAATAAATTTGCTTTATGACTGGTTTATATTCTAATTTAATTAGGACCTTCTACATTGAAATCTCTTTACACTAGAGCCACATTCACTCAACCATAGTGAAAAACAAAAACACTCATACAACAAAAAAAGTCAAGTTTGATGCAAAACAGTAATAATGAGCCATAAAACAAGTGTAATGTAGCTGTCAAATAAAAAAAATGGTTTTAGTACATCTTTGTGTTTGAGACAAACACACAATAATAGCAGAGACATAACATTTTTATCAAACAAGGCTTTATACCTGCTCACATTGTTTGCTTTTGATTAAATATAAAGTAAAAGAAGGATTTAAATATACAAGAATCAACCTGCTCAGATTGACGCAAAAAACTCTGCATACATCCCATGAAATATTAAAGGGGAACGCCGTTTTTTTTACATTGGGTCCTTGATTTTCCGTTATTCCATCATGTTCTACTCACCCATATGAGTTTAGTGTCATTTGGAGCCGTTCTGAAGATATTCTGTTAGGTTATATCCAGTAACGTCTTCCTATGGGCAACGACTTGAAGGCACAAACTACTACAGCGACTCGCCTCCATGTTCTGAATGCTGGCGTACCATAAAGAATAAATGATGAACAGATTAGTTTGTGCCTTCAAGTTGTTGCCCATAGGAAGATGTTACTTGGATATAACCTGACAGAATATCTTCAGAACGGCTCAAAATGACACTAAACTCATATGGGTGAGTAGAACATGATGGAATAACGGAAAATAAAGGGGCCAATGTAAAAAAAACTGTGTTCCCCTTTAAGCCTTTTATCATTAAAAAAACCTTTAAGAAACAATGTTTTGTTGCAGGAAACCTTCACAGCTTCCACCATTACTGGATAATAATGAGAAATAACCGTTGTACTTACAGAGGAGCACTCTGACAGATGCTTCCTTCATTGCAGCTCTCAGTGTGTGGACAGTTTACTTCAGTGACTGTAGTAGACAGCAACTAGAACCCCCCCTCTTCCTGTGAGGCTCAAACCTTTTTGGAGGTTGAGGAAGTAATTCAGCTAAAACAAATGAACTGATGAAGCTACAATATAAATGTGGATCATTATTTCATTGAGCTTAAAGTTCTCAGTTCTGTGCAGCTGCTGCTTCTGTTCAAAGTTTTGATGATAGCAGTGGAGGTTCTAGACCGATTTCAAGAGTCACCATTATCCTCTGTTTGGCGGTTTCACTTTACTTGAAACACAAAGATTATTTATGGCACCTCTTTTCCATTAATAGAAAAAAATGTTCAAATAGAGCGTCCCAGAAAATGCTAATTTGCACTTCAGAAGCAAAAATATTTCACACTCAAAAGCAAACAAGATAAAACAATAAATAATGTAAATATATAAGGCTCAATACTCAGTCTGTCGATCACTAAAGCCTTTCAACAAGTGATTACATTGAGCACATGAAGCATGAGGCATGAGTTTGCAAAGTAGAGTATCAGCCTTTTCTCACCTTCTCTCTGTGAGAAAAGGCTTCTCACACTACACACTACAGTTTTAACAGGAAGAAACCTCCAGCAGCACCAGACTTGGTGTGAGCGGCCTTGAGCAGATGGTGACTGGGGGCTCATGGTGTCATAATTCTTGGCACTAGTGCTGGTTTAATTCATCATTCAACACCCCTGTCAGCTCTGCCCCGTCCATCAGATTCACCTGAATGCCCCTGATGGACTGATGCCCCGTCCAAACCAGTTCTCAGACCAGTCACTAGTGCCAGATTATTTGCTGAATTTAGTCCAGGATTGTTACCTTTCTGCCTGTCTGATTCTGACCTGATTCTGCCTCTCAGTCTGCCTGAACCCTGTTGGACCTGTCATAGTGTCATGATTGGTTCTGAATCAAACCCACATGCAGAACACTACCAGGAGACAGATGAAAAGTTTAACAGAGTTTATTAAATGTTTGCACAAAATAAGACTGCGTTCAGGAAACAGGTCCAGGGCTGGATTCTCAGGCGTCTGCAGAGATGACAGTTTGGTTAACCAGGTGGATAGGAAGCGTTGTTTATTTTTCTGATTATTGCAGATTATACCTTGGAGAGTTTCAGGCTTTCTTCTCAGAGGGGGGGGGGAACCGGTTGGGTCCAGAAACTGTTGGTTTGACAGAGTGCTCAGCAGGTGCAGCGTCGTACTTCTTACTGTTGCATCAGACCTTGGATTGAGGGGTTAGCTCTCCTTCCGAGAGCAGCAGGTGGATTCCAAAGTGAGATCTTCAGGTTTGGCTCTCTAGGGCAGGCAGGCAGGTTCAGGTTAAGCTCTCCCAGAGCTTCACACGAGAGACAGGTTTTCCTAGGAGCGACAAGACAAAGGCTGGTTAGAATATGGTTTTCTCTAAGGGACCAAATTTAAAGACAAGGAGGCAAAGGTTCGCTAACCAAACTTAGCTAACACTGCGGCGTCGAAGAAAGGTCTGGCATCTGCTTAAGTAGAGGGTCCTCTAATGGGCTGACGAGCTCCAGGTGTGCTGGTGAGCTCCAGCCCAGAGAACCTACGGCGCACTCTGCTGGGGAAAGGTGGAACAACTCCAGATCCCAACAGTACCCCCCCTCAACGACCGCCTCTTGGCGGTCCAGAGGAAGTGGACGGGAGGGAACTCTCATATTCCTCAATCAAGGAAGGATCGAGGATATAAGAGCCTGGGACCCAGGTGCGGTCCTCCGGACCGTAGCCCTCCCAGTCGACAAGGTACTGCCAACCGCGACCTCGCCGACGGGAGTCCACGATCCGGCGAACCGTGTAAGCCGGATGACCATCAATGTCCAGGGCGGGCGGAGGGGAGTCGGAAGGTGGGCACAAGGAGCTAGTGATGACTGGTTTGATCTGTGAGACGTGGAAAGTGGGATGGATGCGTAGGGAGGATGGGAAGTGTAGACGTACAGCAGAGGGTTTGATGATTTGGTCAATCTTGAAAGGACCGATGAACCTGGGTGATCGTTTTTTCAACATCCCCTTGAGGGGGATGTCTCGGGTCGACAACCAGACCTCCTGGCCTGGAGTGTAATCAGGAGCGGGGCGCCTCTTAGAATCTGCATACCTCTTGGTAGTGGCGGAAGCACGGGTGAGAGCGGTGACCGTGTCTCTCCAGTTTCGTTGGCTGCGGCGGATGTGTTGATGGACTGATCTTACTGTGATCTCTCTCTCATCTGCGGGGAAAAGTGGAGGCTGATAACCCAAGGACACCTGAAAGGGAGACAAACCAGTGGAAGCAGATCTCTGGGAGTTATGTGCGTATTCTATCCAGGAGAAGTACTGGCTCCAGTCAGTTGGGTTATTAGATGTAAGGCAGCGGAGGGTGGACTCAAGCTGCTGGTTCATCCTCTCCGTCTTAGACTGAGGGTGATAACCTGACGTAAGAGAAGATTTACAGTTGAGTGCGGAACAGAAAGCTTTCCAGACCTGAGAGATGAACTGGGGACCACGATCGGAGAGGATTTCCTGAGGGATGCCATGGAGACGAAAAACGTGTTTCACAAGGAGTTGAGCCGTCTGGAATGCAGTGGGGAGCTTTCTGAGGGGAATGAGATGACAGGCCTTGGAAAAACGATTGACGATAGTTAGGATTGTAGTCATACCTCTAGAAATGGGGAGACCGGTGGGAGAGACTTAGCACTGACCTTACTGAAGACTGGTGCTAGATCATGATACTCGGGAGTAACAGAAGTAAGGTCAGGAGAGTCCATCTCCCCCCTACCTCTAGGGGACTGAACAGAAGGAGCCACAGAACGAAGACAAGACTCGTGACAGAAGGTGGACCAGGATTCAATGTAGCGTTCAGCCCAGTTGATATGGGGGTTATGACGCTCCAGCCACTCGAAACCAAGCACCATGGGAGAACAGGCTGAAGGAAAAACAAAAAACGTTATCATCTCACGATGGTTTCCAGAGATCAGCAGTTCTAACGGTTGAGTCTGATGAGTTACTTGATGAAGTTTCTTTCCATCGATAGCTGAAACTCTGAGGGGTTTAATTAAAGGGACAGTCTCAATCCCCAACTGCTGAACCAGTTCAGAGTCAATTAGGTTTTTCTCACAACCAGAATCTATGAAGGCAGATAAGGTGAGATTCTGGTTAGAAAAGAACAAAGTAGCAGGCAACAACAAGTGAGGAGTTTTCTCGGATTTCAGATGGCCCGTCAGACTCCTCACATCCTCTGACAGGCCCCGGCTTTTGATTTTGCCGGGCAAAAGGCAATGAAATGGCCAGTCTCACCACAGTATAGACACAGTTTAGCCTGAAATCTCCGTTGCCTCTCCTCCGGGGACAATCTGGTGTGTCCAATCTGCATGGGTTCGGTCTCAGTTCCATCAGATGGAGAATAGTGAGAGACCTGGACAGGCGCTGGAAGAGAGTGGTTATTAGCTCTAGGCTTGGTTATGGGTTCTGGGGAAACAGAAGCATTTCTTAATGCAGGAGTAGAAACAGCAGAACTCAGATTTCTCAATCTGAAATGACTTCTGGCACGAAGTCTGTTATCTAACCTGATGGTCAGACGTATTAAATCCTCCAAACTAGCTGGTTCGTCTAATGTGGCGAGTTCATCCTTAATGTTATTGTTAAAGCTGCAGTCTGTAACATTGAGAAGAGAGCAGACTTCGACTGAAACAGGTTTCACTCCACTCCCCCACCCTCTCTGCTTCACTCATGCCCCACCTCCAAGCTCCACCCCTCTCACAGCATCTGCGCGGCTACCGCATGCGAGCAGAAGGGTGGAGGCGGGATTCAGCGTGTGTGAGCTGTGATTGACACTCCATCAGACGCTCCTCTGGCTGTGATTGGTTGTTTTGACTCGTCCCGAATTATTCTTTCCAGATTGAAATACAGGCAGTAGGCGGCACCAATTGAAGCAGTTTTTTTCATAGGTTACATATCACATGTACTGCTGTCTGGGCATAGGGAAAGTTTTAGCCAATATGACAAAAAAGTGATTTTTAAAAACTTACAGACTTCAGCTTTAAAGAGCAAAAAGGGAAAAGTACTCTTAATTTGTGAAATTTTTTTCCCAAACCTGAAGTTTAACCCTTTAAAACCCGGGTTCCCCCAATGGAAAAACCCAGCAAAAGTGGAATTTCCCTGTTAAAAGATTTAGTAAGGTCGAGACCCAATTTGTCTTATCTGGGGTCATGGTTAAAGGCTTGGGGAAAACTCAGAAAAAAAATTGGGAAAAAATTGTACAATAAAAAATGGACTCAGAAAAAAAATCTTCCCCCCGCCCCTTTCGGGGTTTGCCCAGTTAGTTGGGACAGAAAAAAGGGAAAATTTTTTTCCCCCCCCTTTTAAAAAAAATGCCGGGGGAGTGTTCAAAAGCAAACGAAAATGGAACAAAAAAAACCCTTTAAAACCCCCTTTTTGGTTCCCTGAAAATTTTTCAGGGGGGGACTCGGACGGAACTAAAGGAAATGTTTGTCACGGATGGTGCCCTTAGAGGGGGGAAGTGGTTGGGAAAACAGTTCGGGCTGCCGGCGAAAAAGGGTTAGCCCTCCCATGTACCCGGCAAAATTTGCGGGATTTGGGTTTGAATATTCCAAAAGTTTGGTAACTAAAGGATTGTGGGGGCCCGTGTCCTTGGATTTGAGCGTCCTGTCCCCCAAGTCTTTTCCGGGAGGTGATCTGCTGGGTTTGTGTTTGGCCCCCAGTGTTCTGTCATGATTGGTTCTGAATAAAACCCCACATGCGGGAACCATTTACCAGGAGGGGGAAAAAAATTTTTAAACCCCGGGAGTTTTTTAAAAAGGGTTTTTGCACAAAAAAAGATGCGTTCAGGAAACGGGGCCCGGGCTGGATTTCGGGGGCGTCTGCAGAGATGCCATTTTGGGTTTAAACCCAGGTGGATAGAAAGCTTTTGTTTAGTTTTCTGATTATTGCAGTTTTTACCTTGGGATTTTCAGGCTTTTTTTCTCGGGGGGGGGGGAAAAACCGGTGGGTCCAGGAAACTTTTGGGTTTTGACAGAAGTGCTAAGCAGGTCCAGCGTCTAACTTTGATGTTGGGATCGGGCCCTTTGGGATTGAGGGGTTAGTTTCCCCTTTCCCGGGAAAAAGCCCCGGGGGTGGTTTCCCCAAAAGTGAGATTTTCGGGTTTTTGGTTTCTTAGGGCAGGCGGGCAGGTTCGGGTTTTAAGCTCTCCCGAGCTTCACTCGAGGGGACGGGTTTTCCTAGGACCCCCCCAAGAAAAAGGGCTGGTTAAAATTATGGTTTTCTCAAAGGGGTTACCAAATTTAAAGAAAAAAAGGGGGAGGCTCAGGTTCGCAAACCCAAAAATTAGCTAAAAATGCGGCGTTAAAAGAAAGGTCGGGGCATCTGTTTAAAGGGTAGGGGGACCCTTCTAAGGGGGCGGGACAAAAGCTCCGGGTTTGTGCTGGTGAGCTCCAGCCAGAAAACCCCAACGGCGCACTTGCGGGGGAAAAGATGGAAACAACTCCAGATCCCAACACTAGGGGTTTTTTGGATCTTGCCCTTGTTTCTGTGCCCGGGAAATCCTCCCCGGGGATTGTCTTGGCCAATAAATCTAAACTATGCCCCGATTTTTGGGGCCCCCCCCTTTGTTTGTCTTTGGTTCTCAAATCATTCTTGGTGCCCCGGGGGTTGGTTGAAAATTTTGTTCTCTGCTTTGGGGAAAAGCGTCGGTCCGCATTTGTGTGGTGCCCAAGGAGCAACCCGGGGTTTAAAGGGGTTTTTTTTCCCTCGGAATCCGAATGGGGGGGGTGGGGATAAAAACCGAAAGAAAACCCTTTCTAAGGCCAAGCGCAGTGCTCGGGAACCCCTAGGCCAACACTGTCCTTCTGAAAACCGGGCCCGGGCCACCAAAAAGTGAGGGCCCAAGG